AGTTCTGGAAGTCCAAATGGATTTCTCTGGGCTGAAATCAAGATGGTAGTGGGGCCACGCAGCCTTTGGAGGCTCTAAGGGACAACCATTTCCTTACCTTTTCCAGCTTCTGGTGGCTCTTCATTCCTTGGCTCATGGATTTGAATCATCACCTTTTCTCCATTTCCATCATCACATGCTTTTTTCTTCTCTGTTTTCAAATCTCTCTGTCTACATTTAATTAAGGACACCTGTGATTACATTTAGGGCTACCCATATAAACTAGGATAATCTCTCTACTTGAAAATCCTTATTTAGTCATATTTTTGAAGTTATCCTGTTATACCATACAGGATAACACTCACTGGTCCTGGGGATTAAGAACTGGATATTGTTGGGGGGCATTACCCAGCCTACCACAGTGACTATCAAGAATCTGAAGAGATTATCAGTTGACAGTCTTGATCAGAAACTATGTATAGCTATTTCAAGCATAAAACCTGATTAAAAAAAAATGTGTTCATGCAGGCAAGTTCAAATTTCTGACTCAAAAATTTGAAAAGATTTCATCTCAGAGTTTTTTTTTTTTTTTGCGGTACGCAGGCCTCTCACTGCTGTGGTCTCTCCCGTTGCGGAGCACAGGCTCCGGACGCGCAGGCTCAGCGGCCATGGCTCATGGGCCCAGCCTTTCCGCGGCATGTGGGATCTTCCCGGACCGGGGCATGAACCCGTGTCCCCTGCATCGGCAGGTGGACTCTCAACCACTGCGCCACCAGGGAAACCCCATCATCTCAGAGTTTTATACAAATTCAATGTTTAATATTTCCCATATTACTTTGCATTTATTTTTATTTTCATTACTTTATATATATTTAAAAAGCAGCTAATTTTTCACCAAGTCCAATATAGAGGTCTACAAATTCCCTCCACGTTACCCCAGGATGCCATACAAATATTATCTTCTTTTCTCTGTGTCATGATGAGGAAAAGGTTGGGAAATATAGCTCTACAAAGTTTAGGAAACTAATACAATGGAGGAAAGAATGCCGGTGGTGTAAGTGAGCTAAGTCCATATCTATTGTAACAGGAAGTCAAAACATACAATGCCTAAAATCCAGAAACCAAAGAAATAGCAAAATAAGCATTTAGAAATAACAATCAGGTATAACTGAGGTAACTGTCAGAAGAAAAATGGTTGCCTCTGGGGTACAGGGCTGGAATAAAGAGGGGCAGAACAGGAGAGAACTATTATTCATTATGGGCATTTTGGTATTTGCTAGATTTTTTTTTAACAATGTGCATCATTATTGAAATTTTTGTTTTAAAGTTCAATTAAAAAGGATATCAGAACTTAACAGCAATATACCACATTTTTTCCTTTGGTCTTTTCTCTAATATGACATTCCTCCTCCTTTTCATTCTAAGGAGGAAAAAAACAGTTATTTTTTATTTGCTAATCATATTACCCATTTTAATGACCTATAATTACCCAGTTATTTAGGCTTCATCCAAAGAATAATCTTGAGGATCTTCTCTTTAATATTTAGTTAGGGTGGTGGGTATGAAGTGCTTAAAATAAATTTCCTAAGACTAAGTTAGGGAACAGAAGTTCTTTATTCCTTCCTTCCCAGTGGTGGCACTGGCAGGAAATTTAATAAGCTAGACCCAAGCAGAGATGTTTGGAAAACCATCAAAAGATGTTTGATGGAATGCACAACAGGGAATCTTTAATATGGTTGAAAGAGGAAGAAAAAAAAGGATTAAACTGAATACTTTTCTTTTTTTTTTTTTTTTTTTTTTTTTTTTTGCTGTACGCGGGCCTCTCACTGTTGTGGCCTCTCCCGTTGCGGAGCACAGGCTCCGGAGCGCAGGCTCAGCGGCCATGGCTCACGGGCCCAGCCGCTCCGCGGCATGTGGGATCTTCCCGGACCGGGGCACGAACCCGTGTCCCCTGCATCGGCAGGCGGACTCTCAACCACTGCGCCACCAGGGAAGCCCTACTTTTTCTATTTAACAGCTCTTCTCTATGAGGATTTCAAAGTCACTAAGAATAAGTAACTTCATCATCTATGCATATGTCACCTTAGAAAAGCAGTATAATATTTATTCTATCTTATGAGTTTCGCAAGAGATGTATTATTTCACAGTGAGTTTTTTTTTGTTTTTCCAAATTATGATTACTTAATGATCTATGTTTATTAGAAACTCTGAGGGAATACAGACTGTTTCTTTATGGTTATTCCTAGGCCTACTCACTCTGCCTCTATAATCAGGGCGGGGGGGTCTGTAGATGTAGTTTGGCATGTGACTGACATACAACAATTTATGGGCATCACCATTTGTGACCAACATTCTCCTCTGGGCAAGTGCAGAACAAGAGTAACAGGACACAACATAGTAAAGACCTGCCTTCTATGCAACTTTCAAAGGAGAACCCACAGGGAAATTATTGATAAGCATGAACAAGATAACACATGTGGTTAAACTGCATTTTTGTGAGCCTAATGACTTTTAAGACTACTCAGAAGATTGGTTTATCAACTCATTAGACAATTATCTGTAATGTGAGACAACCCTGTTTTTTAAAACACCTTATTTGAAATAATTGCTACTGTTTTGATATAAACTTAAATAACCTTCAAATGTAATTTAAAAAAATCATACTGTGAATAAATGGAAGGATATAATTGAAATAACTGAAATTCACTTGTTTCGGAAAACTTCCTGATTCATTAACAACAGAGTGTTGGCAACAAGAAAGAATGAAGTCTTTCTCTTTCTCAAGTATTTGGAAACATCATTCACTTTTTAGACTACTCATTCATTAGTAGTCTGTCTCACAGATATTACTTGATATCTTTTTCCAGTTAACCCGGTTTGGTTACCTTCTGATTCAAATTAAAATGTCCTATTGTTAGGTCTAGTCAGTAACTGGCAACTTCTGACTAATAGTAGTCCCCTTTTTCTTCTTTCAGTGGGTGGTCTAGGATTTAGATGGATACAGATGGAAGCCAATATTGAGCATGGGCAACAGTTTAGTGTATAGTTGTTGCCTGGTCTCTCGGCTAAACACTTTGTGCATGACATAGAAATTTTTATGTCTCTGACGTGTTCTCCAAAACTGCACTGCTTTATTTTCTTGTGTGTGGGGAAAAGGGGGTACGATAGACAGGAAAAAATTAAAAGACCACACACATTGCTGATCTGTACACTTATTTCATACTTTAGTAATTTCTAAACCACCCTGTATTGGATAATGCTCATGGTGAGTAGTCAGCAAAGCTTACTGTAAAGTCATCACGGCGTTGCATTTACTGCTATTACTCTTATACTTGGCCCAAGTTCACATTCTAGGTGGAAATAACTGAAACTTAAAAATTATTTACCTCTAAATATAAATTTAATCTTATTTACAGCTCTCAAAGAGTAGCGAACAGGATACAACACTGCAAGTTAAAAAGATTTAGTGGCACTAAACTGGTCATTCAGAATACACTTATTGAGTGCTTGCTATGTACCAGACACTGTGCCAAGCATTAAATCTAAAAAGGCACCAAAAAGGATGCTTAGAAATAGGGCAGTAGCCATCGTTTCCTTGTGTTGATAGAATGTTCCTATCTAAAGAAAAAGATATGGCAAGGTTGTTATACATCCCAGGACATGGAACTGGTTAACTTAAACTGAATTTTCTCATGTTTCTATTGGGAAGTATAAAGAAGGAATGAGAAAATTATAGGCAGAATTATATCATCCTTGGATGGTAATATATAGTACCAGCGAAAAACTGGCTTTCAGGCTTCTTTTTAGTTTACAATCCATCTCATTCCAACTCATAACTGTACACACATTCCTTCCCAGGCCCCCATTTCATCTTCCTTTAGATTCTGTCCCCCCGCAAGTTTCTGCAAAAGTTTCATCTGTAAATCTATCTATCCACATTACAAATTTCTAATGATACAGATATCAACTTCATGCACCTTGAAGGAAAATTCCACTGTAGTGTATTATGAAAAAAAGGGATCACACACACACACACACACACAGTGATTTTTCAGATATTAAAATGTGTAAATATATTTCAGAAATAGACAACAGCCTTTTAAGCACACTTGAAACTTCTCCACGGCCATGATCTTTCCTCCTTAATCCCACGTGATCTGCCAAGTGAGATTGTTTCTAGTGGCTCTGAGATAGTGGGAGGTTCTTTTACAAAATGTTTGGGGGTTCAGAATTTAAATGTAAATCACTATGTAAAGAAATTCCACTTTACAGGGCACCATTTGAAATAATATTTGAGAATATAGCTTCTAGAGTGCTACTTCTCTAAGAGCCAGCCTCTGAACTGATATAGACCTAACCACTGAAGACAGGTAGTTACTTTTTGGAGATTTCTTGAGGCAGCAAATGTACAACATCCTTTGGTACTCTATCTCAATATATAATCGCTCATAAATCAAGATGTCATTCTTAGGTTTTACCAAATACTCTTGCTGCAATTAAAACTTACTTCCTCCCCCTTAATCTTTTGTGTAGGTAGGAAATAACTGATCATCCTTCTTAAACCTTGTATAATTAAAGACTCTTCACTGCTCTTCAGCTTTATCATTTGTAGGCTAAGCAACCCTATGGGGCTCAAATCTTTTGGTAGTATTTTATTTTGGTGTTAACGCTGATGGATGGATAAATACTGCTTATTCAGTGCTGGAACAATTTCTCTACTGTACACAAAGAATGTAGAGATTCTGATCAAGATCTTCAGTCTCCAAATGCTGCTATTAAAATGTAGACATTTGGATTTTACACACTTCTTTGGGGAAATCAGTTTTATCGCTGAGCGGTTTTTGGGTGTGATCCTTTTGGATTTCACATAAGAAATATAGTACCAAGGGTTATCATTCTCCAGCATGACAAATGAATCACTGGCCTTTTCTGTGTTACTTCAACAACATTTCCATACGAATACACAGCAGTAAAAAAATAATTTGTTTACAGAATGATTCATTTAAAAATTCTCACTTTACCTTGATTAGTGTTGTCCAAGGCCTCAAACTCTTCTAGAATGACATGGTTTACCTCCAGCACCTAAACAGAGCGCTGACAATTCATTTGTCCTGACGCAGGTGCCTTAGTCCTGAATTGTAAAGTCTGAGATACACCCAGTGACAGGCGCACTGGGTCATACAGGTAGGTGGGGTTGGCAACATCAGGTGTGATTTAGCGGGCGCTGCGCTGGCCCTCTTGTAGTTCCCGACTCACTGCAAACGTTCTTTTAACATCCTCTTTCCTTGAGGGCTTCAAAAATCTATTAAAAGGAAAGCACCTCTTGAGGGGTAACTTAAGTCATTTTCCCTTTTATCAGAAAAGTAAACGCCTAACACTGCGGAAATCTCTACAGGAATAGGAACCGGGGTGGTGGTTCTGGTGTGAGAGCCTTCGCTTGGCGTTTTCTTCAATGCCCTAAATTCCTCCTCCTGTTAGTTAAGTCCCACACATCCAACTGCTTACTCTTACTCTTTAACGCATCTTCACCCTTTGGAGACCAGATGTGTGGGTAGAGTTTGTGTCTACCGAGATAGGGCCTGGGCTCTCTCGGGGTAGTTGCGCGGGGTGCTCTGGCTCTACTCGCCCGATAGATATCTAGCTTCAGTCTCTGGTAAGCGGAAACATTTTTAAGCACGACAAAAATAACCACTCGTGCTTCAGGTTGTCTCCCTTGCTGAAGTATCTGTGGAAGACTGGGAGTTCTACTGGTGAAACATCCCTGGCCCAGCCGCTGGAGGCGCAGCCCTAACGCGCGGCATCCGAGTTCGGGCTCGGGCTCGGGCTCGGGCCGCGGCTCCGGCTCAGAGCCCACCTCCGCCAGGCTCCTTCTGGACGCATACGCCCCGCCCCCTGCCACTCCCGCGCGCCTCATTGGCCAGCCCCTGAATCCGCCTCGGCTCCTGACTGGCGGCTACTCCTGTCTGTCTGCGCAGTGGGGACATTTCCGCCGTGAGGGGGGCTGCTCCAAATGGAGGGGGAGGGGAGGTGTTTAGGAGAAAGTGGGGGCTTTGGGTTGCGGGATCCCGCAGCCCGCTGGACGAAGGAGGTCAGAAGCTGGGCTGCGACCACTGGTGAGGGGTTCAAGGTGTGCATGTGTGAGGGGAGAGGGGGAGAGAGAAGGTTGCCTCAGAGGTGACATTCTCTCAACCTGCGAGCCTTCTTCCAGGCGCGCCATAAACGCCCCCAATTTCCCAGCTACTAAAGGAAGAGGAGGAAGGTGGGTCTCTGTGGCGGTTTGGGGAGGGGCCGGGGCGGGCTTCCCACCACCCCTTGGGCGAGTGTGTTTCCCTCTCTGAGGCGTGTAGAGCCCCTCTGCCTGACCCCGCTTTGGCCCCGGAGGCCCAATTTGGGGTTCGACCAGGAGGAACTAGAATGTGTGAGGGTCGGGGCGGGCCCTACCTCCCGGGCTCCTGTCCCTCGGAGTCGCCTCTCCCCTCATGGGTGGCCCCCCAGCGTCCGCTGCGGGGGAGGGCGTGTAGCCTTCGGCCCCTCCCGGAAAAAAGTCGCGGCAAGCTTGCCGCCGCTCCCAGCAGCGAGGCGTTGGTCTGGAGGCCCCCGCCCGCCCGCGCGCCGAGCGCCTCTTAGTCCCGGGACGTTGATGGGCCGGTAGAAAGGGTTGAATCGCTCCCCTCTGCCTGCCTTCACCGCTTCGCGATCCCTGCAGGGCGGGGACCGCCGTTGGCCAGAGTTTCCCGGGGAACTGTCCAGAGGCCGGACGGCAGAGAGGGGAGGAGGAATAGGGGGTGCGGCCCGCCTGTGCCTGCGGCCGTGCAGCTCCGGAGGGCAGTGAAGTAGCCGCTCTAGATACGCCTCTTTCATTGATGAAATTTAAGTTCGTGTGATATTACCTTTTCCGGGAGCCTCCAGCTGGCCCTCATTTGCGTCAAGGGTTTAGTGTAGCCTGGAGTTCCGAGCCGACTCGGTCGCACCAAGTTTCTGTCTTTTGGAAGTGCGGAAGGTTTTCCTGGGTGTTTTTTTTTTCTTTTTTTTTTTTTTTTGAGGCAGTTTTAGCCGCTTTGAATACTCCCTTAAGTGGCAAAACATAGGAAGAGGAGAAGGAACTCGTCGGTTGTTAAAGCAGGGGTGGAAGAGAGACCTGCCCATAGCGTGACTCCTCTAGGCATTTGAATATATATACACACACATATATATATAGGCCAGAGTATTTTAATAAATCACTAAAATGTCGAGATTTGTACAAGGTAAGACACGCTTCTTTTTTCTTCCGGGTTGCTTTAGCTGTACCGAATTTGGGTACTGGCAGTCGAGAGGTTGGTGGGTGGTTTGGAAGTGGAAATGTTCATTTGAGATACAATTTGCGAAACCCTTTTCGTTAAATTGACATTTGAGCTGTCTTGAGCTGCTGGGTTGGCGTTTCAGATACATATAATTTATACCCCTGTACTCTGCTGCATTTAGTTCTGCCTCCCTGAAATCAGGTTAGTAGCACTCTGGCTCCCTGGGATAGGGGCTGTAAATGATGATAAAACAGGACTTTGGCTGCTGATTAATCCCTGTTCTCTTTTCCGGGTCGAAGTCAAGGTAACTCTGGGTGCGGACGGGAAGGGGAACTGAGAGGGCTGAGGAAAGGCAGGTGGGTTTAGCCAGGACTATTGGGGAAGCTTTAGCGTTCTCAGCTTCTCCGTTTGTGTGTACGTGGTCTGAGTCTCAGATTCATTTATTGCGAAACCGGGAATAGCTCGTAGAAGCTGGAGGTCATTTCAGCAGGAGAAATGACTTTGCTGCATTGCTGTGTTTATTTTTTCCCCTTCTTTGAAATCTGTAAATATTATTAAGGTTTCTTTCAAATTAGAAAATTGTTCTCTAAGTTCTATATGTGTGTTAAAAAAGGGTTAGGGAATGCCTGTCAACTGAGTTAAGCAGTAACATTGTGTGTATGTGTGTGTGTAACGTGTACACATTGAAATTGGTGCTACTTTAAACCTCTGTCATCAATTTGTAGCATAGGATTTGCCTTCTGGTAAAAGTAAACCCTTTTCTTGCAGACCCCAGAGTGTGAAAGCTTCGGCCATCTTGCTGAACACACAGCTAGTATAAAGTTCACAACCACTTAATGTGGCTCTCAATAAATGTAACGTACTTAAAAAAATTGTGTCAGTAATGGCCATCATTTGGCCCTGCGCATAAAAATGCCCTAGTAGGTTTTATATCACTTTATTAACTCTTCTTTGAGTTTTGTATAATAAAGTAAGAGAATTTGCCTGCATTATTATGAAAACAGATGGGACACTTATGTCTGCCTTTAGCACTAAGCTCAGAAATGTCACTTGTCATTACTTTTAAATTCATGTTATGCCTTGTATGTGGTAAGAGATGCTTCTGTTTAGGTTGAATAAATGTCTTAGTCAAGAATAGAAAGTAGAGGTAACTGTCAGAAGTTTGCTGGACTTTGTAACAACAATATTTAATTACCAGCAAGCCAGTATTGCAATAATATGCTAGAGAAAAGTGGACAAGTCACTTCTCTTTAAAAGTTAAAAATAATATTAAACTCCAGGTGTTCCTCGTTGTTATGCTTTAGTGCAGCCTACAGAGATGGTGCATGTTGACTAATGTCATATCCTTTGCTGTTTGTTAAAGGCTAATTGTTTTCAGGAGATTCTAAATAAAGTGGCAATACCTGTGTATGTTGTTATTCCTTTCCCTTGTCATCCACTTTTTTAAAAAAATCAGCTTTTTATCTTGAGATTTTTAGAAAAGTTGCACATATGTCAAAACTAAGAAATTATCACAAGTACCTTACTATTAACTAAGCTACAGACCTAGACTACTTTTCCATTATTCAATCCAACATTGCATTTAATTGCCATCCAGTTTGCTCTAAGTGGTAGTTTTCGTTTTAAATTGGCAATTTTGCACAAAAAGATGACACCTCTCCCCTCCAAAATTTTTTTAACACGATTTTGCTCCTGTTTATCATTGTTTAAATTTGTACTTCAAGTGTAAACTCTCTGTATGTTTAATTAACTCTGCTGCATTGATCATTGATAAACTTTATTGGGTAATGATTCTGCTGTCTCCACAGATCAGTTTTTTTTTTTTTTTTTTTTTTTTTTTTCCAGTTTATTTTTTTTTTTTTAAGTGTTGGGTTTTTTGTTTTTGAATTTTTTTTGGTAGCAAAGATCAAATTGTTTGATCTTTGCTGTAGCATTTATTGATATTTCCACTCATTGACACTTAGCTTGTGCCACTTCATAAGGAAAAGATTGAACAAATATTAGGCCTCTAAACTGTTTTCATATGTTGTCTCATTTAAGCTTCACAAGAGCCCTAAGAGGTAGTAGATTTTAATCATGACCTTACAGGTGAGAAAATTTAAGTAGCTTATCCAAAGTTCACAGCTAGTAAGCACTGAAATTCATATATAAATGTGTCTTAAACCCTTGTCCTTTCCAGTACCTTTTATTGCCTCTTATGTTAAAAAACTTATCAGGCTGCTGATTAATCCCTGTTCTCTTTTCCGGGTCGAAGTCAAGGTAACTCTGGGTGCGGACGGGAAGGGGAACTGAGAGGGCTGAGGAAAGGCAGGTGGGTTTAGCCAGTCCTGTTATCAGGAACAATGGCTTCTTTCTCCAGCTAGACTATCAGTTCCCTGTGGGCAAAGATAATATTATATTCCTGAGGGAAATACAGTGTCTTGAAGTGGTGGATGCGCTGAAAGAATCTGTCATGGATGACAAATTAGAAATGCAGACTTTCCATGTACTTTTTAGTAGTTTAGCCTACTTTTTTTTTTTTTTTGCGGTACGCGGGCCTCTCACTGTTGTGGCCTCTCCCGCCATGGAGCACAGGCTCTGGATGCGCAGGCTCATGGGCCCAGCCACTCCGCAGCATGTGGGATCTTTCCGGACCCAGGGCACGAACCCGTGTCCCCTGCATTGGCAGGCGGACTCTCAACCACTGTGCCACCAGGGAAGCTCCTAGCCTACATTTTTGGTTGTAGTTTATTAACACCTCTAACATAAATGTTGAGAAAGATAAAAGGGATGGACCTAGGCTTGAATCCTGTTACTAACAGGTGATCATAGACAACTTTTCTGAACCTCCGTTTCTATTTATATAAACATTGGGTATTAGTACGTATGCCAAAGGGTTTTGAGAAGCTGAAATGAGATTAATTACGTGAATGCATTTAGATGGCCAGTAAATTTTACTTTCCTTTCTTAAAATGATGGTAGCATTTTGGATAGAATTGCCACTATGAGTATAACCACATGTCACAAACAAACAATGCACCTATGACAGTTCTTTATTTTCCTATTCTAGGTTTGGTGTTCAGGCCTCCAGCAACTTGGGAGTTGATATATATATATTTTTAAAGTATGGGGTTGGAGGGGAAAGCTTGAACAGTGATGTGAATACATAATTGGTGACAGTTTTTGTTTCAGTCCAATCAACAACTAAAATTATGAGCTCTTACAATACGCAATGTACTGTATTGGGATTTCTCCTGTATCCCTTATGGTTGGCACTTGAAATTCAGATCTGTGTATTATACCTGTGTGTTGTGTACACGTGTTTGAATGTCCTGGAACCTGGGGTTGCTATTCTCGGCTTGAATCTCTTCCCTCAAATCTAGGCAATGTGCTTTATAGCAGCGGTCCCCAACCTTTTTGGCACCAGGGACAGGTTTTGTGGAAAACAGTTTTTCCACGGATGGGGGCGGGGGGATGGTTCAGGGGGTGATGTGAGCAATGGGGAGCAGCAGATGAAGCTTTGCTCCCTAGCCTGCCGTTCACCTCCTGCTGTGCGCCCGGTTCCTAACAGGGTTGGGGACCCCTGCTTTACAGGAAAGCTAGGCATGTCCATTCTCAAGCACTTTGTAAGTTATTAGGTAGAAATGTTTAATTAATAAAAATAGTTAATGTCAATAGGCAGGAGAATTCCCAGTATGTATTCCTTGGCCAAAAGAAGGTTCAACTGGCTTTGGGCATCTCCCAAGTCTGTGTTAGAATTACTTAGAATTACTTCTCATAGGAGGACTCTTTACTGGATCTCTGGCTTAATTCCCTTGTTGGTGTATTCTGCCCTCAGGTCACCTTCTGTCTGCCTGTGAAATTACATCTCCATTTGCTAGTTTTCTCCATCTCAGGGGTTGTTGCAGGGCCCACAATTTTTCTAAATAAATGTGACTACTACTTAAATGAGAAAGGGCCCCTTGTCACAGTTGGAGGTGACACCTCCTCCTGTGACCCTGCTGGGTCATCAGCAGCTGTGACTTTTGCCAGGTATGTTAGTCAGTGCCATTTGGAATTTGGCTTTTCAAAAGTTGTGAGAGCTATGGAGCAATCTCCCTACATGATTTGAAATTTATAAATGGCACTGGGCCTGCTGTCATCTAGACAGCTAAGGCTGTGTTATGTACTTATACTGTAATTTAGAAGAACTTTTAGAAATTATTTATTTATTTATTAAAAAAATTATTTTTGGCTACATGGTATGCAGGATCTTAGTTCCCCACCAGTGATTGAACCCACGCCCCCGTGCATTGGAAGCATGGAGCCTTAACCACTGGACCGCCAGGAATGTCTCTGGAGGAACTTTTTAAAAAACTGTTTGTCTACTTAAATTATATAAAAATGTCCCTTAATATTCTTAAATTGAGGTACTTTCTTATATTACAAGGGAAGCCGTTTGAGTACCTCTGTGTCACTTAAAAAGTATTTCAGATTTTCCATTTGTTGGAATTCTCTTTTAGTGACTTTTTTTTTTGGTGATTCTTGTTTGGTCAGTGGAACGTAGCCAGGGAAGATTAGCTGAACTAATTGTAACGGGAGGGGTCTCATATGAATACAGGGGTGAGAAGCATTCTGGGGCCTGGTTGTAGAGGTCAGGCCTAGGCCTGGTTGTTCTCAAATCCTAAGACTAAATTTAGCCTGTTGCTGATTATTTAGATGACTAGGATGTTTTCAGCCCAGGAAGGTTGTGGCATGGATTT